GTCTATAAAAGGGACAGTCAGATACACAGTGAGGCCTACAGTCTATAGAAGGGCCTGGACAACAGGTGAAAAAGAATGCCTTCCCCACAACCCTCCATCACCACAATTCTATACAGCCTACAGAAGTAAAAAACACTAATATCAGGTAATTCTTCAAAATTGCTAACTTTCAAATTACCTAAAAGTCACACAAATGATTAACATTCATATTTAATGTTAAAATTATATTCACAACAAAATGAAAACAGAGGCAGCTGTTTCAGTTGTGCTCTAAACATTCTCTATATTGGAACATTTTCCACTCTTGCTACTTTATTAATATTATTCCCCAAATTAATATTATTCTCTATAAGTAAAGGATTAGGTTTTAGATATAGCAGATGTTAGGAAGATTTAGGTTGTGACCATTCAAAGAGTTAATAAACATTTCCAAGTTACATTCATCTTTCCCATTATAGTTATTTCCATGTTTTTAGGGCATAGGTCAATATGGACACATGTGCTAACATGAATAAAACTTGGGAAAGAGAGGAGGCCCCAGTCCCTTTGTAAAGGTACAGAACTCTGTTTTAGACCACAAGGCAGGGCCATCTTATCCCCCAGCACCGGAACATACGAAGCCCCTTTTCAAAGGAAACTGCAATAAAGGGACAGAATCAAGGATCTAATTGATCTAAGCATGATCTTGGCAGCAGGTGACTGAAAACCTATGGGCATGGGGAAAAAAAAGCAGAATAAGCAGTCTGGAATGGCAAAGCCACTTATGATATCTGGAACGTCAAGAGCTGGGATGGACTGTACACAATGCCTAGACTACCCATTTACTGAAAATAAATACAAAACAAGACAGAAAACCAAGCAAAGGATTACACCAAAATTTAAATTCCTCTTTCCAAATATCAGTCAGGCAGTATTTCCCACCCACTTACTTGACTTTTGCAATGACAATTCAAAAGTGACAATCCAGTCACTTTGGTCTTATTTAAATTATATGGAGGTACTTCTGCGAGATGAACTTTCTTGAGGCTAAATCAGGCAAATATGAATTGATATACCCATGAAAAGAAGATACCCTCATAGCTAAGCATACCACTCATATCAACTCAAAGGCCAAAATACCTGCACAGCCATGGAAAGTCTGAATATCCAATCAATATTATACAGATTTCTCTTCAAACTCACCTATCATTAAATCCCTTGGTGTGAAAGGCTTCACCTGACTATCACAAGCACTCCCTACATAGCAAATCTGAATGAATTACTAAAATATTTTCAATTCTTAACCACCAGTACAATATTTACATTCATTCTTTTAAGTTCATTGGAATTACTATTCTGAATACTTCTTAAAAATGTAAGCCATTCCCTATGTTACTCAGCAATAAGGCATTCAAATCAACCAGAGTCCTTAGAACTGATTAAGATGAGTTAACAGAGTAACAAATATTTGAAGATAAAGTATCTAAATATAAATACAAAAAATGTAATTGTAATACTTACCTATCAGCCCCTTCTCAAGAGTGAAGGTTTTGTTTGTAAACATACATTCAAAAGCCACAATGTGAAAAATCTTGTTCACTGTGTTGTGAGTCCCAACAATTCGAATATACCTGATGGTAAAAATGAAAGAAAATCTGTAGAAAATGAGCTCCCACCACAACCAATCCAAGGATAACAGAATAAGACATGTCACTTAAACATATAGTGCACAAGTATATAGACCAAAGGAGACTCTCAGCTTGTCTTCAAAACCTATGTCTGCTCCTTTTGGGTACCCCCAATTGAACCTAGAAGAATTATACCAAAATAAGGGAGATGTCATTTTGCAGAGAATTAAGTAGAACTTATATTAATTTGATTTATTCAGAAAACCAAACCAGGTGCTATTCAGTTCAACCCTTGAATGTCAGTCAGGTACATGACCATAAGATATTTATACCGGAGAATAACAAATAGCTTCTACTCTTATGGTTAGGAATGTGCCTAAGCACATGTACACAATCAAATGCTCTCCAGCTCAATGGGAGACTTCATCAATTGGAGATGAATGCATGAAATCAATATTGCCTTCTTGTTTAAAAGGAAAAAATCCAGAAACTACTGAAAACGACTCACAATTTCTTTTAATACTGTTCCTAAATCTTTGTTAGGAAGTTAACCTTATATACTTACGCCAGCCCCCTACTTGACTGCTGGGAGGTCTCCTGACCAGAGGAAGTGATCTGCAGAGATGGCCCAGCCTGCTCTGCAGCCTCCCTCCTGGCCACATGAATCTGGCATCTGCACACAGTGCAGAGTTTCACTGGGCAGCCCTTGAGCATCTTGGGCTGTTCATCCTCTTTAACTCCCTAGAGACTTCATCTCCAACAAACAAGCATTAACCTTGGAGTAACTTGCTCTCTTCGCTCTCCAAAGGGACCTGACAGTTTACAGGTTAATGAACAGACAAACTCACTCTTCTGAATGTCACACAGTTCCACGGGGGATCTGCCACACACTGTCTTACTGGAATTCAAAGGAACAACCAGGAAAAATAACTAGATTAATCGATAATGCTCTCCCAAATTATGAACTATGCACTCTGAAGGATGGGGCATATCAAATGAACAGATTTCAATTAAGATATGACAGACTGGGCAAGGTTTTAGTAATATCTTCCCCTCTGCTGTGTAAAACAACCTTCAATTTAGACGATATAATTTTACTTCTGAGTTAATCACTGTTCACTAATTTGGTAATTTCCTTACATTTCTCATCAGTGCAAGTTAACTGTATAATGTAAATGCTGATTTAGAAAATTTACATTAAGGAGACTATATCTGGGGTTTTTATATCATGGGCTATTTTCCCTCCTGGTTCTTCAAGCCTAACTCTCATGGCATTCCCTGTGCACCTCATTTAGCCATCTGCTCCTTGACACGAGCTGATCACTTATCTTCATAACCAATATTAACGCTATCTCCTGAACTGACTGCTCGGTGTGCTCACACCTACTGCAGGGACACACCATTCTTCCTGTGTTGAGAATCAGGGCAACTGCTACATGTACCAGAGCCCACTGGTTAAGCAGGAAGTTGGCCCTAATCTCTTCCTTTGAGCCCTCAAAGCAGGCAGAAGGTGCTGATTTTACTGGGTTTGGGTGGGTGGGTGGGTTCATTTAACATAAGTTCTTAATGGTCTGGGTAGTAAAGATTATATTGTCCTTCACTTTGGCAGCGACAGTCTCCTTGGTGCTTTCTGGAGGGGAAGGGATGTATTAATTCTGGCACCTTGGCCTGAATCTAGTTTTGTCCATTTCCTAAAACCCACAGGAACTCAACCATCATAGCATTTTCAACTGCATATGGCTGTGACAGTCTAAGTGCTGCTGTCTGCAACCTTGGAGGGAATAGAGGGAATGTGGTTCAGTGGAATTTGATCAGATCATTTTGCTATTCTCTAGCTCAAGTCTCTACCAAAGGAGGCGCAGCTCTCCTACTGTGTACAGAAGAGCCAGGAAGTGACTAACAGGACCTTTTCCCGCTGGCAGTTCTCAAGGTTAATATGGTCCAGGCTGACCTAAGGGGATGCAATAACATTCCTTCCCCCTGTTCTTTCTTTTTAAAAGGCTGTGTGGAATCAGGTTTTCCAAGTTTAGATAACTAATTTCCTGAATTTTACCTAGTGCAAACATTAGGAATGAGAGAAAATATGCAAACTTCCCCTCCCTCACCCGCCAGTTACAGGCAACTGAGAATAAAAAGTTATATTGGAATACATTTTATACCCTTAATGATAGCATTTGTGATAACAAACAAAATCATATATATGGTTGGAAGAGCATTGAGAGATGCCTCCAGATAAAAAGTTTTATATAAATGAAGATAATGTTATCTCTGTTGCATAATTCTGAGGTCAAATTAGCAATTTGCCATTGTACACCATACTTTTTGATCAGCCTGTTATATGCAACGCTCATAACAAGTTTAATTATTCTAGTTGTTCAATGCTAAGTCTCTAGAAAATTATAGCATAATTTGCAAAAATGGCATAAAGTCCCTACTCAAATACATATTTAAAAACATGTGCTATCAAAAGAAAGAAGCCAAGCTCCTTATTCTCAAGCAAAAAGTTGTAAATATCCTGGACTTTTCCCCAATTTAAAGATCTAGACTAGAAATGACAAAAGGCTTCAACTAATGGCCTGATATCAATGACTAACAGGAGTGGCCTGATGCTCTACATTAAGAATTCAGGGCTGGGCAAGGTGGCCCTGTAATCCCAGCACATTGGGAGGCCTGGCTGGGTGGATTACAAGGTCAGGAGTTCAAGACCAGTCTGGCCAAGATGGCAAAACCCCATTTATGCTAAAAATACAAAACTTAGCCAGGCATGGTGACACGCTCCTATAACCCCCGCTACTTGGGTGGCTGAGGCAGGACCGCTTGAAACCAGGAAGCAGAGGTTGGAGTGAGCTGAGATCGTGCCACTGCGCTCTAGAGTGGGTGACAGAGTAAGATTCTGTCTCAAAAAAGTTTAAAAAAAGAAAAAGAAAAAAAGAGGCCCTATCCAGCACAGGAGTAGTGCCTTGATCCATGAGCAATGACTAAAAAGGGGAAGAGGCAGCACAGGTACCATCCTTGATCATGAGCATATTTCCTTAATGGGGCTCACAATGGAGCATCCCAAGGTAAAAGAAGTTACTACTACCCAAGTTATTGAAAAATCCAAGGGATAGGAATGGGAGAGTCTTCTCTCCTTTTGCTTTTTTTGAAAGACAAAACTAAACTTGGTTCTAAACACCAAAACAGGAGAAGTAGGTATCACATTTTCTCTGTCACAAGAAATCCTGAATATAGGTAAAGTTTAAGATTTATTTCTTTGCTTTTTCAGCGCAAGTCAGACTCTGATTTAACCAGATAATAAGGGCAGAGGCAGCTATTGACTTCATCAGTGTATAGAGAGGAGAACTGCTGAAAAATAGAACAGATATCCTTTGTTCTTGCTGAGGTCCTCAACAGCAGCTCAGACAGTTGGAAGAAAATTAAAACTTAAACAGTGCAGAGGAAGGCAGATATGCAACAGATTGGCCATTTCTGATGAGGATGGATGCTGTCCACGTGAGCCGTAGTGTAATAGCCTGTTTCCAATATTCTCCTCCCTTCCCTATGTTAGCTGTCTTCAAGTAGCTGACAAAGAATGGATACTGAACATAGCTCGGAACAGAATGTTTCAGTACAGAAATTTCTAGGAGCTATAAGGCTGTGGGTGAATGAGATTCTGTCTTCTTTAATAAAATAAAACTGAAACCCTCCAAGGACAGCACTCAAAAACTGAAAGGCACTACAGAGTTTTGATACGACATGGCTTTTAGAGTCCAACAGAATCAGTTGTATAGCCCAACTCCATCACTTAATTGTGTCACTTAAGGGGAGAAAAGAAAAAAAAAATATATATATATATATATATGTATGTATATATAATTATGTATATTATATATAGATGTAAAGTATATATTAATAAAATATATAATTATATATATATGCATATATATATATATAAATTTTTTTTGAGACAGAGTCTTATTTTGTTGCCCAGACTGGAGTTCAGTGGCATGATCATGCCTCACTGCAGCCTCAACTTCTGGGCTTAAGTGATTCTCCTACCTCAGCCTCCCAAGTAGCTGGAACTACAGGTGTGCATCACCACGCCTGGCTAATTTTTCCTAGAGATGTTGCCCACACTGGTCTCAAATTTCTGGGCTGAAACGATCCACCTGCCTCAGCTTCCCAAAGTGCTGGGATTACAGGTGTGACCCACTGCATCTGCCCCCCCCCCCAATTTTTTTTTTAAACTTAAGTTTCCCCCTCTATAAAATGAGGTCAATAACAAACTTTTCAGGGTATTTAAATGAGACAAGTATTTTAAATATCCAAGGCAGTGCTTGGCAGAGTAGGATACCATTAGGCAAAAATTCAAAGAGTAGATGATAGGATACAGAATTTCGTGGTTAGGACTTTGAGAACACTGGTTTTCTTGGAGAGTGGTTAGTCTCCTTTATCTGTGGTTCTGCTTTCTATAGTTTCAGTTACCTGCAGTACAGTACAATATTTGGAGACAGCGAGAGAGAGACCACATTCCCATAACTTTTTCCACAGTATATTGTTACAATTGCCCTATTTTATTATTATTGTTGTTAATCTCTTACTGTGTTTAATTTATAAATTAAACTTTACCATAGATATGTATGCATAGAAAAACATACAGTGTATATATAGGGTTCAGTACTATGCAGAGTTTCAGGCATCCACTGAAGGTCTTGAAATTTATCCCGAGGATATGGAGGGGACTACTGTATTACTGACTTCAGATGTTAAAATGGTGCATCTATGGGGAGGCAGGCCAAGGAGGGGACTTCAGGAACACAGGGAGGGACTTGTCCTTCCTTTTAGGGTACCACAATATGGGGACTATGGACAACAGAAAGCAAGCAACATTCCGAATGTAGATTTCCTGGCTATATGGCACTTCTTGCTTTAATCCTCTGGTTTTTAAAAAATGTTCTTGACCTGTCTTAGCTAAGCATGAGGACGCAAGGGAAGAATCTTCTGACCATATTTGGATTTAAAGT